CCAAGAGTGCTTGGAGTTGTTCCGCCACCACTCGCTCCAACACCTTGCCCAGAAACGGGATGTTGGCCACAGGTCTATAGTTAGTGGCCATCTCTGGATCCAGTGACGCTTTCTTCAGGACCAGTCGTATTACCGCCTCCTTTAAAGGGGCAGGCACTCGACCCTCCCTCAGAGAAGCGTTAACCACTTCCAAGATCCAGGTCCCAATCCCGTGCTTGGAGTGATTTATTAACCAAGACGGGCAAGGATCCAATAGGCAAGTGGTGGGACGTACTCTTCCAAGCACCTTTCCACATCATCGGGTCACAATAATTGAAATTCCTCCAATAATTTTGGACCAGACGGTAGCATTGGTGACTCCTCAGAGACCTCCGATTCATTAGTGGAGTCCAGCTCGTGACGAATCTGAGCGATTTTCTCCCTGAAATGCCTGGCAAAGTCGTCACAGCGGGCCTTTGAGGGTGGCATCGGATCTTCCTTAGGACCCGGGCAAACCAGGCCTTGCACCACTCGAAAAAGCTCTGCCGGACGGCATTGTGAGGAGGCAATGGAAGCGGAAAAAAACTTCTTTTTCACCGCCTTCACCGCCACAGCATAGGCCCAATAGTGGGCTCTCAAGTGTGTTCGGTCAGATTCATTCCGTGATTTCCTCCACCTACGCTCTAGCCGTCTCCCAACTCGCCTCATCGCCCGCAATTCAGGTGTATACCAAGGGGAAGAGCGGACTCTGCCCGGTGGGAGAGGACGCTTGGGAGCGATCGTGTCCACAGCCCTGGTCATCTCTCCGTTCCACAGTTCGACCAGAGCCTCGACAGGAGCACCAGTCTTGTCAGCCGGAAACTCCCCCAGGGCCTTCAGGAATCCTTCCGGATCCATCTGGCTCCGGGGGCGGGCCCATACAATCGGGTCTGCACTCTTATAGAGGGAGAGGCCGCTCTCGAGCGCAAACCTCACCAGGAGGTGATCTGACCATGACAGGGGAGTCAAACATAAGTTCCTCACCCTCAGGTCATCCTCTTCCTGCCCCGTCATGAATACCAGGTTCAGAGTGTGTCCATGTTCATGGGTCGGGTCGATGACGTGTTGAGACAGGCCCATGGCCGTCATAGAGGCCATGAAGTCCTGAGCCGCCCCGGTCAGTCCAGACTCGGCATGGAGATTGAAGTCCCCCAGGACCAACATCCTGGGGGTCCTCAACACCAGGTCCGAGACGGTCTCTGTCAGCTCAGATAGGGAGACTGCTGGGGAGAAGGGTGCACGGTACACCAACAGAATCCCCAGTCTGTCTCGTTCGCCCAACACCAAGTAGAGGCACTCCAGCCCTGGTCTCAAAGGGACCGGAAGACCCGTGAGAGAGATGGAGGCTCGGTAAACCAACGCGACTCCCCCTCCCCTCCCTTCTGGGCGTGAACAGTGTTGAGCCAGATAGCCGGGCGGGCACAATTGGGAGAGGGCAACATCCCCTCCCTCTCCCGCCCAGGTCTCCGTTATGCAAGCCAGGTTGGCCCTCTCATCCACAATCAAGTCATGGATGAGGGAAGATTTATTATTGTTCGACCTGGCATTGAGCAGCAGTACCGTCAGACCCGAGGGGTGGTTGACAAGGCTACCTGGTGCCCTCTGGTTGGGGGCAGGACCAGAAAGAGGGACAGGTGTCAGCCATCTGTCCAACCTTCTTCTACGTGGACACGTTAAGCCCCTATTGTTGTAATGACCATTGCCCATGACCACGCCAATCAGTGGTTCCGTGTCCAGTTCTCACTGCTGCTTCTTGATCCGCATATAGGTTTCTCAGGAGACAAATAGGATGGTCTGGTACTCCCATTTCTTTAAGAACTTGCCACATTTGGTTGTGATCCACACAATCAAAGGCTTTAGCATAGTCAATGAAGCAGAAGTAGATGTTTTTCTGGAACTCCCTAGCTTCCTCCATGATCCAGCGTATGTTGGCAATTTGATCTCTAGTTTCTCTCCCTCTTCGAAATCCTGCCTGTACTTCTGGTAGTTCTCAGTCCACATACTGCTGGAGCCTAGTTTGTAGGATTTTGAGCATCACTTTGCTAGCATGTGAAATGAGTGCAATGGTGCGGTAGTTTGAACATTCTTTGGCATTGCCCTTCTTTGGGATGGGAATGTAAACTGACCTTTTCCAATCCTGTGGCCACTGTTGAGTTTTCCAAATCTGCTGGCATATTGAGTGTAGCACTTTTACTGCATCGTCTTTTAGGATTTTGACTAGCTCAACCAGAATACTGTCACCTCCACTAGCTTTGTTGTTGCTCAGACTTCCTAAGGCCCATTTGACTTCACATTCCAGGATGTCTGGCTTGAGGTCAATGACCACCCATCGTGGTTATCAGGGACGTTAAGCTCTTTCTTGTATAGTTCTTCTGTGTAATCTTGCCACCTCTTCTTAATCTGTTCTGCCTCTGTTAGGTCCCTGTCATTTTGGTCCTTTATCATGCCCATCTTTGCATGAAATGTTCCCTTCATATCTCCAATTTTCTTGAAGAGATCTCTGGTCCTCCCTATTCTATTGTTTTCTTCTATTTCTTTGCACTGTTCATTTAAGAAGGCATTCTTATCTCTTCTAGCTGTTCTCTGAAATTCTGCATTCATTGTTTGTATCTTTCTCTTTCTCCCTTGCCTTTCACTTCCCTTCTTTCCTCAGCTATTTGTAAAGCTTCCTCAGACAGCCATTTTGCTTTCTTGCATTTCTTTTTCTTTGGGATGGTTTTAGTTGCTGCCTCTTGTACAATGTTGCGAACCTCCGTCCATAGTTCTTCAAGCACTCTGTCTATCAGATCTAATTCCTTAAATCTATTTGTCACCTCTTCTGTATATTCACCAGGAATATGAGTTAGGTCATACCTGAGTAGCCTAGTGCTTTTCCCTACTTCAACTTAAGCCTAAATTTTGCAACCAGAAGCTCATGATCTGAGCCGCGGTCAGCTCCTGGTCTAGTTTTTACTGACTGAATAGAGCTTCTCCATCTTTGGCTGCAGAGCACATAGTCAATCTGATTTCTGTGTTGACCGTCTGGGGATGTCCATGTGTAGAGTCATCTCCTGGGTTGTTGGAAAAGAGTGTTTGCTATGACCATCGTATTCTCTTGACAAAATTCTACCAGCCTGTGCCCTGCTTCATTTTGTACTCCAAGGCCAAACTTGCCTGTTATTCCGGTTATCTTTTGGCTTCCTACTTTAGCATTCCAATCCCCCATGATGAAAAGGACATCATTTTTTGGAGTTAATTCTAGAAGGTGCTGTAGGCCTTCATAGAACTAGTCAACTTCAGCCTCTTCAGCACCAGTGGTTGGGGCATAGACTTGGACTACTGTGATGTTGAATGGTTTGCCTTGGATTCGAACTGAGATCATTCTGTCATTTTGGAGGTTGTATCCCAGTACTGCTTTTCCTACTCTTTTATTGACTATGAAGGCTTCTTGCCTTCTTGGGATTCTTGCCCACAGTAGTATACCTGATGGTCATCTGAATTAAATTCACCCATTCCTGTCCATTTTAGTTCACTGATTCCTAAGAAGTCGATGTTCAGTCTTGTCATCTCTTGTTTGACCACATCCAGCTTGCCTTGATTCATGGATCTTACATTCCAGGTTCCTATGGAGTATAGATCTTCACAGCATCGGACTCTCCTTTCACCTTATTCCAAATAATCTAGGATGTCCTTCATGTTTTACAACAACCTTAATTGGAGCTAGACTCTAAAAACACCCTTCAGCCGGAGGCATCCCTCCGTTTTGTTTTCCATTCAGTCGTCTCTCTCACAGGCTGGTATTCCTGAAAACCTAGTCTCTTTTATGATCTTGTTCGTGACGCCAATTATGTGACCGTGCTAAAGCGGTCCTTGATTCAGTAAAGAGGAGACTATCAGGTTTCCAAGGAAAGCTCCTTTCGGAGAGAGACTGAACGCCAGATCTGGTTTTAAACACTATGCATGCGACATTTATTCTATGATATAAAGAATGCAGAAGTATAAGAATACAAGTTCAGCAATCGTCAGCACCAATATCAAGAGGCCTCATTCACACTCGCCTTCGTGCAGCACTCATACCCCAGCCAATAGACCCTCTCGGTGATCCATCGGGACTGTGGGTGATCAGTAGCAGCACCGTTCTGACACACACGGGAGCTGGAAAGCCCAGCCATTTTATACCTTTAAGTTGATGCTATCAGCTGAGTCCAACTGGATCGAACAGTGAACTCCTCTGAGCAGAGCTGACACACAGAACGGGCTGGTCCTTATCTTGAACACACGCGGTCTCGTCACATTCTATTCTCTCTCTCTGGATGGCGCAGCTGGGCTTATCTGTTATGTTCTGCTCTCCAACCACTGCCGGCCTCTCAGTGTTCTCAGTCTGGTCCGTCCCATCATGCTTTTTCATTCTTCATTTTCTTCTGGATCTTAGGCCTTCAGGAACCCAGGCACACTGTGACAAGGTCCCCTTATGGATCAGTAGCCGGTTGAAAGACAGAAAGCTCAGAGTAAATCCTCTCAAGGGAGAGATGTGAAGAGTGGGACAACAGCATGAGAAGAGCCCTGCTGGCTCACCGAATCCATTGAGCCCGGTGCTGTGTTCACACAGAGAACAACCTCTTGTTTGTGGGAAAGCCAGAAATGAGTCCCGGAGCACTGGAGAATGGTGAGAATATTGGAGATGCTGAAATGAAGGAAGCCACAACTTTGGCTTTATCTTCAATGACTTCATGTGTTTCAGCCGTCAAATGGTAATGAGATTTTCATTTTCTCTTTATTCCTAAGCAGGTGAGCAGTGACAATTCAGTAAGAGTTAAGCCGAACCATGTGTCTTACCCACAGAAACAAGCGAGCAGGAAGTGAGAAAAGAGACATTTCAAACTTAACTTTCAAAGTCAGCTTCCGTGCAAGCACAAGTCTTCTTCGACGTCAAAAACTGACAACACGGAGAAGTCCTAAAAAACATCTACCATCGCACACTCTGGAATAGACCATATAAAACCATGGCCCGCAGAAAGAGTTTCACTGGGGGTAAAAGTCATGCTAAAGATCAGATTGTCCACTTTGAAGAGCAGCCAAAGGACAGCACGCAAAGTGGAAGGAGCTTCAGTGAACTTCCAGATCTTAAGAAGAGCACAAGAATCCATACTGGAGAGAAGTCCTGTGCAAGTATGAAATGTGGAAAGAGCCTCTTGGCTGCTGGAAGTCTGCCTGCCCCTCAAAGAATCCGCACCAGGGAGAAACCCTTTCATTGCACAGAATGTGGAAAGAACTTCCGGCAGAAAGGTAATCTGACCATGCATCAAAGAATCCACACTGGGGAGAAGTCTCTTAAATGTAGAGAATGTGGAAGGAACTTCAGGCAGAATGAACATCTTTCTAAGCATCAGAGAACACACACTGAAAAAAACCCATATAATTGCACGGTATGTGGAAAGAACTTCAGTGGAATGAGTAGCCTGACTCGACATACAAGAGTATATGCTAGGGAGAAGCCCTATAAATGCATGGAATGTGGAAAGACCTTCCCCTGGAATGATCAGCTCAGTCTGCATCAAAGAACCCACACTGGGGAGAAGCCTTTTAAATGCACGGAATGTAGAAAGAGCTTCAGTGGAAGGAGTAATCTGATTCGACATTTTAGAGTACACACTGGGGAGAAGCCCTATAAATGCAAGGAATGTGGAAAGAGCTTCAGTGTAGGGAGTAATCTGGTTCGCCATTTTAGAGTACACACTGGGGATAAGCCCTATAAATGCATGGAATGTGGAAAAAGCTTTTTGGAAAGTGCAAGTCTTACTATACATCAAAGACTTCACACTGGGGAGAAGCCTTATACATGCTCAGAATGTGGGAAGTGCTTCCACCATAACTATCACCTTATAATGCATCAAAGAACACACAGTGAGGAAAAACCGTATAAATGCCTGGAATGTGAGAAGAGCTTCAGGCACAAGAATCTTCTTACTAGACATCGAAGAACCCATACAAGTGAGAAGTCTCTTAAATGTAGAGAATGTGGAAGGAACTTTAGGCAGAGTGAACATCTTTTTAAGCATCAGAGAACACATACTGGAGAAAACCCATATAAATGCACGGTATGTGGAAAGAACTTCAGTGGAATGTGTACCCTGACTCGACATTCAAGAGTACACACTGGGGAGAAGCCCTATAAATGCATGGAATGTGGAAAGAGCTTCCCCTGGAGTTATCAGCTCAATCTACATCAAAGAACCCACACTGGGGAGAAGCCTTTTAAATGCATGGTTTGTGGAAAGAGCTTCACCCAGAAGCAGTATCTTACCGGACATGAAAGAATCCACACTGGGGAAAAGCCATATAAATGCAAGGAATGTGGAAAGAGCTTCAGTCAAATGAGTCATCTGACTCGACATTTGAGAGCACACACTGGGTAAAAGCCTTTTCGATGCATGGTATGTGGAAAGAGCTTCCAGGATAATGGAATTCTGACAATACATCAAAGAAACCACACTGAGGAGAAGTCATTTAGAGACATGAAATGTGAGCCTCATTGATAAGCATCAAAGGTAAGCAATTGATAAGCAAGCAGACTTCCGGTTGACGTTGCAGCGAGACGGCAGTGAAGAACAGGGACTCCGCACTTCATGCCGAAATCCGTTCTACAGAGGGCCTTGGCAGGCCCATCCAAGCCCTGTTGGGGCAGGGATTAGAAGTCTGAACATACTTCTGGCTTGTGGGGGGCGGTTGTCCCCCACCTGCCGGGAGAAGCTCGTGGATTCTCAGTGAACGGAAAGAGAGGGGTGCACTTCCACCTCACTAGTAGTCAGTTCCGGTTTAATAGTGAAGAAGAAAAAATTTTAGAAATGTTAAAGCATAGAAATATTTTAATAAATAAATAAATAAATAAATAAATTTAGAAGTGGACATTGGACCTGCTGGGTGAGCAATCAGTCTTTTTAAAATATTGTCCTTGAAAGAACTTGTGAATCAAGTACCAATCTAAATAAAAAAAGAAAGCCCCTCTTGACGGAGGGAGGAAACTCCCCCCTTTGGAGTTTAAGCAGGGACAAATCTAGGGGAAATTAAGTAAAACTGGGGAAATCTGAGACTCGGAAAGAAGAGACTCTTGTTTAATCGCCCCAAGAGCGAAGAATCAAATCTGAGCTTACTGTACATTAATTGGTAGAAAAAGATTTCTTTTTGTTTCATTTCTGTAGGTGGACATGGTGATCTGATCTTTTTCAGAGTTCCTGCTTGAAAGTGAAACTCTTTTGTCTTTTGTTATAACAACAAACAACTCTTTGCTGCCACCCTGTGGCCATTTTATCCTATAACAAATACATTGTCTACCAAATTTTTTTTGTGATTCTTTGCTGCCATCTTGTGGCCATTTAGCACTATAACAAGCTACTTTAAAAATTGTCTCAATTTTTTTTTTATTTTCATCATGGAAAAAACTCATCCATCATCCTCAGCACCTGCGTCTGCCTCACAATGCCCAATACATCAATCAAAAACTCTGGATGTGGAAAAAAATCAAAAAGATTTACAAATGACACTATTGGCAATGCAAGCGTCTCAAGAGTCTATTCAAAACGCCATTCAAAAATTGGCCTTGGAACAAAGTGAAAGACTGGATAAACTGGATAGTCATGTTTTGGATATGAATAATCAACTTGCACACATTTGACTCAAAATAGGACAAAATGAACAAAAATACAAGAAATGGAAAAGAAGACTGATGATAAGAAAACTAAAAGATGGATAAAGAGATGGATTTACACAAACAAGTCACTATGGGATTCAGTTGCCATATTGGAACTGGAGAAGGTGTCTAAGTATCTAAGATTTCAGAATACACCAGAGGCAAAAAATGAAAACCTAAGTGATTTAATAAACACTTTGTTAGCAGATGCTCTTGATTTGGAAAAGGAAGAGATTGATAACGAGACTGGCCTGGTTTATAGAGTCAACTTAAGCTATGTTAGAAGGCATAAACCTCCGAGGGAGAATGAATAATTCTAAGGGAAATCTATATCTTGAAGGGCATGATATACAAACAGGCTGGCATGCTTATATGTGGTAAGGGCACTGACATTTCTCGGTGGCACAAGGTTCAAATCCAATTGAGATACGTTAAGACTATAGAATGTGTGGTTTTTATATGGAATTGCCAACATTTGATCAAATGATTTTAAAACCAGATGAAAAAATGATTAAAAGATTGTATAACTTCCTTTTGGGCATGAAAATGAAAGATGAACAAATTAAGGAAACGATAACGTGGGCACAAAATGTTGGATATAATATTGAGTTACAGAAATGGCAAACGCTGTGGGAAAGAACTATTAAGGTAACCTTAGGAACTTCATATAAAGAAAACCTTTATAAATGTTTTATAGATAGACAGACAGACAGATAGATATAAATGTTTGATAGATGGTATCTATTGCCAAATAGAGTAGCAAAAATGTTCCCAAATATGGCAAATAGATGTTGGAAATGTGAACGTAAACCTGGTGCTTTTTATCATATGTGGTGGACTTGTGATAAGGCAAAAAAAAAAAAAAAAATACTGGGTTAAAATACATAAATGGCTTGAGAAAATGCTACAAAAACCTTTAACCTTCATTATTCTAGGTGACTTTGATAAACAAACTATATATTTGATTTTACATATAATTGCTGCAGTGAGGATTGCATTTGCTCAACACTGGAGGACTGAAGAGTCATTTATTGATGAGCTGATCTTAAAAAAGATCTTGGACCGTGCAGAAATGGACAGATTGACCTTGTCTCTGAAGGAGAAGGAGAATACCTATTTCTATCAAACTTGGAACTCTTTTTATTATTGGTTAGAGAAAAGTGACTATGCGTAGATCTGAATATGGTTATTGACTGTTAAAAAGAGTAAGATGTCAATCCAGTGTGTCCGATGTCTTAAATGATTGATGTTTTTAATGTTAGATTGTAGAGAAAGTAATAAAATTTACTTTGATAAGCATCAAAATTTGATAAGCATCAAAGCACTTATCTGGGGAAAAGCTTTATCAATGTAGAAAGTATGGAATGAGTTTCACCCAAACTGAACACTGAGTGACATGTTAAGAAGAGAACATTGAAAGCTATGAAGTGTGAAAGAAGCTTCGTTAATAAAGTAAGCTTTTCTGCTTATATGGATCCTGGGAAAGAGCTACAGAAGGGTAAACTCCACTTGCTGTTCAAACGGAACCATGGGGAGATGCAGAGAGGACTCGGTTCACAAGGAATCTCTGGGCCGACATCTGGGAACGTAATTACAGACATTCCACGCCGCATCAGGCCAGCCGTTACGTGAGTGCACCGTTATGCCTCTTGCCCTTGTTGCAAATTTAGGAAAACAAAGTTTTCCGCAGGGAATTCTGGATCGTATTTTAATTTATGGAGTCCAGTGCATCTCCACTCACTTGACATCCTGTTTGTATAGTTAACATAAATATTTTATATTTATGCTCTGTCAAAGGAGCTGCCATAAACAGGTATTTTTCTGCTCCTCTTCCCCAAATGCCAGTTTATCATTTTTTTCCCGATGCACAATTTTCTATGTCATGGGATGGGTACAATTCTGTTAGCTGAAGAAGAGAGAATGGAGTCATTTATTTGTTTTATTTATTTATTTTTCAATTTATATCCTGCCTTTTTCCTACAAAGGGCTCAAACCAGCTTACATCTCCTCCTCCATCTTATCTCCACAACAACAACCCTGTGAGGTAGGTTGGGCTGAGAGTCTGTGACTGGCCCAAAGTCACACAGTTGGCTCCATGGCTGAGCGGGGACTAGAACCCAGATTGTCTGAGTCCCAGCCCCGTGCTCTTATGCATTTCTGAAAATAGGTATGAAACATAATGGATCTTTCTTTATGGTAATGTATTGCTGCTTAAGCCAGTTAGTGTTTCCAAAACTATGTCTAAGCTGTCATTTTCCTAAACAGCTTTCCTAAAGAAAGGAAATCCTCAGAATAAAGACAAAAGCTCATTGGTTCATAATTCCAGTACTATGAGGATTCTCCAAAAGGGTTCTGCACTTTTTAAACTCTGCTCCAAAAACAAATCACATCACTTTTCTACATAGTCACCTTCCTTTGCGATGCGTTTTTCCCAGCACTGTGCCAACTTTTTAATGCCATCAGCAATATATATATATATATATATATATATATATATATAAAAGTGCAGAAACTTTTTGAAGAACCCTTTATTTCAAATTGGATATGTTGCTGCTGTTAGTTGCGAAGTCACATCCGACCCATTGCGACCCCATGGGCATTCCTCCAGGCCTTCCTGTCCTCCACCATCCCCCGGAGTCCACCCAAGCTCACGCCAACTGCTTGAGTGACTCCAAAGGCAATAATTAATTGGCAAATTAACTAGGCAGGAAGAAGTCTCTTGGCAGCAAGAAGCTTCATGGAAAGCACTGGGGTCCAGCAGAATCCCAAAACATCTGGAAGTTGGGTGCTGCAGAAGCAGTTGTGAATGTACAGTCAAGGCCTGGACTGTTTGATTTAGGGATGACACAGAAATAAATGGAGTGGTCATGGGAAACTCTTGTTTTTCACACTGAATGGTGAAGCAACATGGCTGCTTGAACCTGTCCTCCGAATTAGCTAAATGGAAGTCCTCCAAACAGGCCAGAGCCCAGTGCTAATCCAGAGATTTACAAGCCAAGAGCAAGATGAGGTGAAAACACCCACACTTTTAACTGAAGGCGAAATGCAGGTACAACCTGCTTTTGTATTCAAAAGCCTTTGAGACATCGGAGGGCGGGGATGAGCCTCCTTAGCTAGAAATTGGCTTGCTGAATATTTCTCTAGGCTCTTTGGCTAGGTGGGAGCAGTTGCTGCAGCAGCTGAGCTGAAACCATGCAGTTGGTTTAGTCGGTTTCTGAAGCCCTTTCTTCACTCAAAGGGGTTTTAAGGGGCAGCTGGAGGACAAAGAAATGGGCTTCCTTTCTTACATTATATTCCACCTTTTTTTTCTTTTAAAGACCTCAGAGTGACTCGCATTCCTCTCCCTCTCCATCTTTTATTATTATTTATTTATTTAAACAACTTAGATGCCACCCCCTTCGCATCAGCCTCGGGGCGGCTTCCAATCAAATAAACACCAACATATAAATACATAAAATAGTGGAGACATCCTGGCAATTTAAAATCAATAAATAGCATTAACAATTAAAATAACATTTGAATAAAACGGTCTTGGTCTGGCGCCGAAAAGCAAACAACAACGGTGCCAGGCGAACCTCTCTGGGGATCGTGTGCCCTACAACCACAACAATTCTGGGAGGTATGCTGGGCTATTTCTTGACAGGAATAGACAAACGGGAGATGGTAAGAAGTCACAGATAAATGTAGAATAGACCCAGAGAAACTTTCTCCTTGAAGGAAGATCCGTGCAGAGACATTTAATAAATTTCACAAAAATGAAGGGAGGGGAATGCAATGGAGTATTGGAATATTTTGTTGGATCGTTGACATGCCCATGGTGGGCATGTTGTGAGTGGAGCCGGGGGTCAGACTAGATGGCCTGGGAGACCCCCTTCTGACTCGCTCTGTTTCTGTGTATGAAGGTATTTGTGATCCAGAAGGTAATTGCCTCTGGATAGATGTTCTGTTAAGAGTTATTCTGAGAAGGAAAAGTCTGCATCTGGGTCTGGGAAAGTGGCAGAGTACAAGGACTCTTTGGAGACCCTTGGGCATCACTGTCACCTGTCCAGGTGGGCACACCTGTTGGCCAGCTGCCGAAAGGCAGACAAATTCTTCACAGTCATATCAGCCAGCATACGTACAACCAGGGAAAACTGAGATTACAAATGGGGACAGATTCAATACAGCTGGTGGGACGTCAGGATCCTAATCCCCTGTCCATTTTCAAACCCACAACCACCCAGGACTCAGGACGAGAACAAGAACTGAGTTTATGTGTCCAAATGCCCCACCGCTTTGAAAACTGAAATGCCCTGAAAAGGAAAAAGCAGGGATTTTTCAAATGCTCCCACAATGGCAGATAGAAGCATCAGAATGAGCAGAAATCTGCTCGAAATGGAATGGGCGCAAGTACTGCGGAAGGAGAAGTGCCCCCCTTAACCATCAAAGATGGATGGAGGCTTCTGCGATCAGCACAATCTCCCCATGGCAAAGAGGGGGCAGAAGCCTCAAGGCCCTTTCGGCAGGGCTCCATGCCATGATGTTATTCAGTGCGATTCAGCGACATTCACAGGTGCTCACCGGCAGTGAAGGGAATGAGGCTCCCTGAGGGCTGCAGGCACCCCAACTCAGAACGCAGCAGTGGCGGCGGGACCCCAAAAGGCCCACGAGCATCAGCGGAAGCCGCCGTCATCACCACTCAGTCGTGCTTGACCCGCACCAAGAATCATCGCTCTCCATGCCCCTCTGTCCCACAGTGCCTCCTTCAAGTCCGTCACGGTCATCCCAGCGTCCTCCTTTACGGTGTCCGGCCAGCGGGTGCTCCAGCCAATACATGACTTCTCCCTTTTCCGCTGATCATTCCCAGCATGACTGACTTTCCCAGTGGGTCGGCTCTTGCGAGAACACCAACGGATCCAGACCTGATTCGTCCAGGGAACGAGATTTGTGACCAGGCTCCACAAGGGCAGTCCAAGGTCCAGCAGGGCACCTTAAAAAAAAAAGGACAGGGTAGAGTTGGGGAAAGTAGCAAAGGGCACCTGGCATGATCCAAGGGTCGCAGGGGGAAAGGCTGAAGGAGCTGGGATGCTTAACTCGGAAAATAGGGCAAGGGGCGACCTGGTAGGGTCACACACCAGGGATGGGGTGATATTTTTCATGAACCTGGAGCCCAAAGGGTCCGCCCATGATGGGTGGGAGATCCCGGACAGAGCAACAGAGAGCCAGTGTGGTGTCGTGGTTAAGAGCATGGGACTGGGACTCAGACGATCTGGGTTCTATTCCCCGCTCGGCCACGGAGCCAACTGGGAGACTTTGGGCCAGTCACAGACTCTCAGCCCGACCTACCTCACAGGGTTGTTGTTGTGGGGATAAGATGGAGGAGGAGAATGATGTAAGCTGCCTTGAGCCCTTTGTAGGAAAAAGGCAGGATATAAATCAAAAAATAAATAAAACAGAGGTGCTCTCTCACACAGCACCAAGTTAAATTGTGGCTTGCACCAAAATCGGTGGCTTTAAGAGGGACTGAACTAAGCCCAGAAGGCTGCAGATGGGTTTATGCCACTGCTGGTCTCAGGGGCAAAAGGGCCATCTCCCCATGCAAGCTGCCTTGGACCCGTTGCAGGCTATCAATGCAAGAGATGAGTCAGAGAGTCTCCCGCCCAGGAGAAGCAGCTGCTGATCATCTCATCCTGCATGGAAGCCGCTGGAGTTATTCTGACAGGGCTCCTCCAAACAGAGCTTGAGAGCGAGTGTCCAAGGAAGCCCAAATGGGCTTTTCATTGGTTCAATCCATTTGTCAAATGTTATGATGTCTCTTTTTGCTACAACAGCACCCTCAAGGCAGATAACTCCCTGATTGCTACCCAGCCAGCTTTATGCTTCTGCTTCTGTACAAAGCCCTGAAGGATTTGGGACCAGGACCCCTGAGCGCAGACCTCCTCCCTTACCAGCCTGCCAGGTCACTGAAGTCATCAGCAGAAGGGCCTGCAGTGTGGTGGCCCCATTCCTCCGGAATCCCTTGCCCCTGGAGGACAAGCTTACTTTGGCACCTATCTTTGTTCTAGGAAGCCCCTCTTGCTGACTAACACATGTTTTATTGTTACCCTGTTTTTATATATTGTTCTTATCCCAATCACCCCAGAGGGCAGGACAGAGAATCATGGGCTCAAGTTACAAGGAGCCAGATTGCAACTAGATACCAGGAAACATTTCCTGACTGTCAGAGCACGACGTCAATGGAACCAATGACCCAGAGAGGCTGTGGGCTCTCCCGTACTAGAAGCATTCAAGATGCAGCTGGAGGGATGCCTTAACCCGGAGTCCTGCATTGAGCAGGGGGTTGGACCAGATGGCCTTCCGGCCGCATCCATCTCTACTGCTCTATGGTTCTCTTGCATGGCTTCTCCCCAGTGCGGATTCTTTGCGGGGTCTCTGTCTAACCCCAAATCTCCCCTAGGATAGATTCTAATGAAATAATAACAGTACAGTCGAATAAGCAGTAATAAATGGCAGGAGAATGAGGAGACCAGGCTCACCCATGTCAGGCAATCAAGTTGAAACGAAATAGTGAAATAGAGTCAGACATTTAAAGATCAATCCAAGACTTTCTTGCGAGAAGTCAAGTTCCTAATTTGCACAGGGTGCAAAAATGGGAAATCTGGCTGATCTGCCTGACTCTAGACAGGAAATGCTAGACTCACTGGGCTTCTGCACAGTTCCTATGCTGTCAAGTTTCCAGACTCCTGCCTTGTGCTTCTCTGCTAAATCAGCTCTTCTCTGCATCTTCCTGGGATTGGCTTTGGACAGCAGACTGATCCTGCTTTTGAGATTCATCAACCCCGGACCTCCAGAACTCTGTCCCATCCATCACCCATAAGAGGAGGAGATGGTCCAATAACTGTTGACGCCCTTCGCACAAATCCTTACAGATCTTACAAAGTGCTCCTCCTTTATAGGTTCTTTCAGGTAGAGTTGAATGCATAAGAGTGCTGAAGCACACGCTCTGAATTTATGCCATTCATTCTCCATATGGGTGCTTCGCTTACTAAGGTTCTCCCATCGCTGAAACTCCTTCAACATTCTATGTATTCAAATAGCTTTTCTCCAATGTGTGTCCCATGATGGTTAGCACAGCTTTGACTAAGTCTGAAGCTTTCTCTACACTCCGTTCATAGAAAAATCTTATCACCGGTGCATTTTTCCATGTCTGGTAAGATGAGAAAACTGACAAAGGCTCTTCCCACATTCCATGCATTTATATGGCCTCTAATCAGTGGGTGCTCTTGCATGTAAACAAGATGACGTTTCTGGGGATTCCAAGATGGCGTCAGAATGAGACGGATGTGATTAACGGAGTTCTGTTATCACGCCGGTATTACTCGGCAGCGAGTCGTGGGAGACTCATCTAAGCCCTGTTAGGGTGAAGATAGATTGCCTGGGCATGCTTTTGGCTTGATGTGAGATGGCAATCTCATATCTGCTGGGAGCAATTCAGGTACTTCTCAACCGAGTAACACAGGGGGTGGTTTCAGCCCCTTCAAGTTCTCCACGTCTTAGAAGATTAGCTTAGGATTTTTATTAGCTAGATAAGCATTGGAACTGCTGAGTAAATATTTTTTACTTCTTTCGCAATATTACCCGTGGAAAAGCTGCATTTGTTTATAATTTGGCATTAAGAAAAGAAAAACCCTCCGGATGTTTAGGCAGCGACTTAGATAAGAGAGTGCTGAGGCTTTTGTCCAAGTTGAAGCCGAAGAAAAAGACTTTTTCCTCTAATCTCCCTAAGGGTATAAAATTAGTTTAAATTTTTAAGGTGCAATTGCGTGATAGTTTGATATCTGTTTGGACTTCTGCCGAGATCAACTGGACACTCGCCAGGATATTTTTCATATTGTCGGATGCTTTCTTCTTTAATGTGATGACTGTTTAGGTGAGCATTCCTATTTTCCTTTTGCGATGCTACTTGTGGAAAAACTGTATCTGTTGTTAACTGGCATTAAAAAAAAGAGAGAGAGAGAGAGAAAAGGGAGAAAGGAGGAAGGATATAAGAATCTCCATTTTCTCTCCTGCGTTTCTGGGACCTCTGCCAAAGTATTTGGCAACTTGCCAACCTTATGACTGCTAGTGATCTAAAGAAAAGAAAAGTGGAACTGATCTTGGCTGCCACTATTGTGGCTATTGGAATTATTGTAACGATGGAAGAGCTGAAAGGTTTATTTTTTTGGAAATACAAGAATCTTTAATAACTTTACAAATATCCCAAGAGGTGAGTGTTGAGACAACAGGAAATCTTCTCAATTGTACAAAAAAAGCGCTTTGATAAGCTTGATGCTTCTTTTAAGGAGATGGTGATTGATGTAGAATCCAAAACTGAACAGAATATAGAAGAAATGCAACAAGTATATGAAAAATTTGAAACTGTGGATAAAAAGAAACAAATTTGGCCATTAAAGGAAGGAATTTTTTTTTGAAGGATGGATGGAATTAACTAAAATTGATTCTGAGGAAGAAGAAATAGTGAAGGTTGATTTGCAGCAAAAAACACAGCCATTGGGAATAAATACTAACCTACAACAAATGCTACAATCACTGAAGATAAAGCAAGAAATAGTGAAGATTGAAATACAGACTTCGAAGTGGGTTGATTTTCAACAAATAACATCAAGGGGAGAAAGCTGTTCTGGAGATGTAAAGTTTAAAAATATTGATTTTCAACAAACCCTATTAAAACAAAAGCGGTTTGGAAGAGGTGTAAAAAAGAGATCTTAAAAAGGAATGGTATAAATGGGTTGGCATGTTTATTGTGGTATGGAAAGGCTAAGGTATATGATTTTAACTGTGGAAGCTTTTCTACATTTAAATGTGTTGAATTATGAAGAGATTATAAGATAAGATTTAAACTGAACTAAGAAGGAAAAGAATAGGAGTGGAGTCTCCCCCCCCCTTTATTTCTCTCCTTTGTGGGTGATATAAGGGAAATTGAGAGATTCTTTTTCTTTTTTTAATCTTAAAAATGAATGACCAAAAGCTAAGTTGCATGACTCTTTTGTCTTTGAATTGCTATACTAGAAAATGACTATCATGGGAGCTGTACTAAATAGATTTCTTTTTACAAGCGAGATATATTAAAGATTGTAAGGAGCTGGACTCTTATAAGGAGTTAA